GTAAATTTAACCAAATCTTCCTCTAGAGTCTGGATCAAGTTATTGAGTCCACTTGACATTTGAATATCATGGGGAGATATATAACAAAAAAAAAAGAAGAAGAAGAAAGGAAAAGAAGGAATGGAAGGAAGAAAGGAAGAAAGAGGATGAAGTAGAATACAAAAGCAGTTCCTTCCTACTGATAGATTATTTCAACGCCTGTGTAGAATTTTATGGGAAGTCTACAAAACTCTACCAGAATAATAAACTGTTTAGTTACCAGACTAGCTCTGCTGTTTAAATTTGGGATTCCTCCTGAGTACAGGGGTCTTAGCTTTCTTTAGAGCACTTACTTGAGAAAGCTTTCTCTGAATCTTTGAAATGTAAATCTTTGCCCAGCACCTTTTAAGGTTTACAGCAAAGACTGTCTGCTAAGAGCTCTAGGCCTCCTCTTTGAAATGGAATCAACAAAAAAGAAAGGGGTCTACTTTCTGTTCCTGCAGAGATGGGTGTCAAGCAGTGGGAAGTGGAATTAGGAAACAAAAGAGGCACAAGCTCTTCCCTATTCTGAAGGCCTCTTGCTCTATCATGTTTAACGCTACCCAGGGTTAAAACTTTCCTGCCTTGTGTTTCAGCATAGATAAATTCTGTCAAGTCTTCATGGCCATTAAATCAGTGAATCCAGTTCTCCTTTGACATTAGAGGCACAGAATACAGAATCTCTACACAAAATGAATGTTGTATTCTAGCTGTTTTTATTTTGAGAACTGTTGTTTGAGACAAAATTTTTCTCGTAGACCAGGCTGGCATTACAATTCTCTGACCTTCTGCCTGGGCTTCCTTATATGAATTGTGAGTATAACTATAAGATTCACCTCAGTATGCTGTATTTGCATATATTAAATGGAAATTATTAAAAATTATTGGAAGTGGAAATATAATAACAACATTCATAGAATTATTTTTTTCCTGGGATAGATTTTTATAAAATATTCATCATAATGGGACACTGATAGCTGTACCTCACAGTTAAAAGCAATTTAAAAAATTGAGAAATAGTATATTTATACTTCAAATATTTAATATTTCTAAGATGACATTTCCCCCCCATGACCATTAAGCTCTTGTAAGCATTTGTAGATCATTTCATGCTTTGTGTTTGGTTTTGGTTACTATGCCCTACAATAAGCTTGATGGAGGCCAATGGCATTTCCCTAAATAGAGTGTGGAAAAGATCATGATAGATTGTGAAGAAGCTAGACGGAAGTAGAACTCTAACCCAGCGTTCCTTGTGTTACTGAGATTACTTAGTCAAGCTAGGCAATAGTAGGATTTAAACTTGGCTTTATTGTTAGCAGAGACAGAGGAGAAATTTTAAATTCTTGTCTATAATAGTGACAGTACAGACTTCTGCCAAATACCCAAGTTCAAATCTTAAAAAAAATGACAGTAAAGGAAAACAAAGAAAAGAGAAAACTCAGAAAAGAATACATAAATAATATGTAAGTAAATGCAGGAAGAAAAACAGCAATGGATACACCATTCAGATGTCTGACAGTAATGTATGTATTTGCTTGATAATATTTCAATATGAGTTCCTTGCATCTAGAGTACTGGAGTTTTCTGCTCTTCCTAAACGTGAACGGTAAAGCACAGCCCATTTACGATAAACATCCCATTGTTCAATATGTACAGACTCTCCCTGTAGTTTTTTTTATTCTCTGTAATTGTCATTACTCTGTAGACTGATCAAACTGTTAACATGGGTTATCTCTTTGTGGCACTCCTGTTTTCTGGTCAAAGAGGATTACGTGTTGCTCCAGCTGCTGTGGTCGCACAGCCAATTGCTCACTGACTTCCTGGCTAAACCTCCTAACCCCATGCTACCTACTGCGCATCTCTGGCAACAACTTCTAAAAATCAATCGGAAAAAAAAATCTTGGTACTTCTTCAAGTATTGCGGTGGACTGAGATTAAGTCTTGTCACTGTGGATTCAATTATTAATTGATCAATTGCTACTCTGTAAAATAACTGATGGTTTAGGATTTTCTCTGCCTCTGAGGAAATTAAATGCAAATCTGTGTCAGTCATCTGTTAACAAAGATTCCTTCAAGAAAACAGCCAGAATACCAATAGGAAGCCCTGCAGCTGTTTGAGTCAACTGCAACTCAACCCCTTTTTATTTTATTTTCTTAGTAGCCCAATATGTGTAGTCTTTTGATTTTCTCTGAGTTTTCTTTCTTAAAATTAAATATCTATTCAAAATTAATATATCAAATAAGTTAACACAAACACAAATCAGAGTACTGTCTTATTCTTTTTCACGCAGTTTGCTCTTGGACATAGGCTTTTAGAAACATAATGCCAATATAAATGCCAAAATCTCAACTGCCTTATAACTTCAAATTTAGAAGCAAGTCTCTCAAGCAGGCAAGGTCATTCCATAAAATTTTCAAATAAAAATAAAATTATTTTTCCTCCCCTTTAAAGTGTGGCATGGAAAATTCATTGTTTTTTTATTTTGGCAACAAATCTTGTAAAGCAAAAGCTCTAATGTTTTATGTAAATTAGTAAATATTATAAGCATGCATATTTTGATTATATATCACAACTCGAAATTGTTCTTTTTTTTGTGCCCATTGTTCTTTTCAATACTGCTAAAGCAAAAGGAAAAGAAAAAGTTCCAAATTATTAGCTAATGCAATTACTTATTCATCTTTCAAAACAAAATACAAGAGTTTCATAAAAAGTACCAACCTTCAAATCTGAGATATTAATAAGTTAACAGTCTATGGAAAAAATAAATACTCTTTCATTGCAATAAATTTAATGTGTTGCAGAACAAGTTTGAAAATTTGATGGAACATAGACAGCTTCTTCAACAGGAATAGAGAAACTGGACACACACATAAAGAAGAATGAAATTAGACCCATGTTTCTCATCCTGAAGAAAGATTAGCATAAATGGATCAGTGACCTTAATGTATGGTCTTAAACATTGAAATTGCTTGGGAAAAATGTAGGAAAAAACCTCAAGATAAGCCAAGACCATCTATCTGAAATGAAAATCAGTGACACGATAAATAATATAAATGCTTAAAATAACAGAAAGAATTATTTAAAATTAAAAATAGTGCAGTAAAAGAAACAGTATACAGGAAAATAAATAATCCGTCCCAATTTATATCAAAAAGGTAGCTGATACCCTAATTATATTGTAAAACTGAAAAAGAAACTTAAATAACTTCCAAAACCACAAATATTTCAGTAAATAACTAGACTAATGAATGAAATAGAAATGTAAAAATAAATGCAAATGAATGAGCAATAGATATTTGAAACAAATATGGTATGCATGATTGACGTGGGATTCCTCTCTGTATGCTGTGAATATGTTTTTATTACCAATTCATTTGTTAATAAATAAGTTTCTTTGACCGATGGCAGGGCAGAATATAGCAAGGCAGGAAATCCAAGGAGAGACAGAGGAGGAATGTAGAAACAGTCATGGAGACAACATGTAGCTGCCAAAGAAGAATGATGCCAGAACCTTACTGATAAGCCACAGTGTCATGGAAATACATAGATTAATAGCAATGTTTTAATTTAAGATGTAAGAACTAGCTAGAAATACTAGGAATATGCCTTAGCCATAAGCCAAACAGCATAATTAACATAGCTTCTTTATGTTTACTTGGGACTGAGTAGCTGCTGGACAAGGAAGAACAGAAATCTCCATCTTCACATGGTAGTATCCACCTGTGATTTAATTACTTGAGAATCGAGGACGGAAAAATTAGGAATTCAAGGCTCCGTTTTATACTAGCTAGCAAGTTTGAGGACAACTTGCCGTGCATAAGCACTTTCTCAAATAAACAAATGAACAAACAAAAAAGCAAAATGATATTCAACATCTTTCACAATCAGAGAACTTCAACTTAAAACTACTTTGAAATTCTATTGCAGGGCATACTGACTGTTATTATCAGAAAAACCTAAGGTAGTAAAGAGGTATTGGAAGTTGTACCAATAGTCAATGCTGATAAGAGTCAATTGGTAGAGAAGCTATGGAAAACATAACTAGTCTTTTGTTTTTTCCTCCAGCTGTACTGTTCCTGGGTAAATAGCTGAAGACTCAATGCCTTCCCATACAGATGATTGCACATTCACGCTTATTGCTGCACTATTCATAATACTTAATACATAGTTCAAGGTCAGATATGAACCAATAGATGAATGGCTAAAGTTTAACTGAATGGAACTGGAAATCATTATGTTCATATTCAAATGGAACAGGAAATGATTATGTTAATAAAGCAAAACAAAATTTGAAAGGCAAATACTGTCTCTCATACATTGCTCTACTGACATTTTTTTTTGTTCACTTGACACAGACTAGAGTTGTCTGAGAAGAGGATCCTCAATTGAGAAAAAGGCTCCATTAGTCTGTAGGCTAGTCTGTGGAGCATTTTCTTGATTCAATAATCAATGCAGGAAGAAGGCCCCCTCAGTGTGTATGCAGCCATTGTGGACAGATAGTCCTTGGTTGTATAAGAAAGGCAGCTGAGCAATCCCGGAGGAGCAAGTCAATAAGCAGCAGTCATCGTGGGTCTCCACTTTATTTCTTAACTTGAGGTACCTACTTCACTTCCTTCCTTCATGACCTTTCATGATGGACTACAACTGTGAGACAAAATACAACTTTTCTCCCCAAATTGCTTCTAGTCGTGGTCTTTATCATAGCAACCAGAATATATACAAAGCCTAGTTTTAAATGTGTGTATGTATGTGTGCCTGTGTAAGTTTATGTGTATATACAATTGTGTACAAAGCAGAAAGAGGATGCAGGAAAGAAAAGAAGAGGTCTTAATGGAGGAGGGGAACAGATAGAATAATTCAGTATAGGAATCTATTGTATGAAGTTAGAAGCACAGTCTATTTGGAGAAGGAAATAAAGCAGCAAGAAAAGGAGATCAGAGTGCCCCCCCCCCCATTCCCCGACTCAGCCTCACAAGCTGTCATGGCAGACAGGCTGTTAAGTTTATACGCTCGCCGCCTTTTGGCAGTAGCAGCTATACGAGAGCTCCCGGCTGCCCGCGTTTGCTGGGAATCCTCCAGGGCTGTAATCTCCCCGTCTGCTGTGGAGAGAAAGCAGTCACGAGAACCGACCACACTCTGGCAGGAGGACCCAGAACCCGAGGACGAAAACCTCTACGCGAAGAACCCAGACTTTCACGGCTATGACCAGGACCCTGTGGTGGACGTCTTGAACATGCGAGCTGTCTTCTTCTTTGGTTTTCCCATCGTCTTGGTCTTTGGTACCACTTTTGTGGCATATCTGCCTGACTACAGGATGCAAGAGTGGGCCCGCCGGGAAGCTGAGAGACTTGTAAAATACCGAGAAACCAACGGCCTCCCCATCATGGAATCCAACTGTTTTGATCCCAGCAAGATCCAGTTACCAGAAGAAGATTGATGAATTACTGAGTAGGCTTAAAAAGCGCTACTTCGTCTTCCCTGCCTGTTATTCTTCTGGTTCCTCAGAGTACCTCATTAAAGGGATTGAAAGAAAAAAAAAAAGAAAAGGAGATCAGGATTGGGGAGAAAAATGAGATCAAGTAATAGAACAAAGCATATTTACATACATACTGAATTTTTAAAACAAAGAATGAAGTTACATCTTTGCCAAACTTCTTTCTGTTTTCCTAGAGCCTTTCATGTAGACAACTTGTAGCTTCTGCACTTCTGCATTCCTTTAAAATGTCTCTTCCCAGTCCCTTCTAACAACCTAGGATCTATTTCTGTGCAACGTAATATTCAGGGAAAGTAGCCGTGGTTGAAAATGTTGACCACACATATGCCCTTGGGTATCCTCCTCAAATTACACAACTACATCTTTAGAATGAGTTCTGGTCTCTCTTTTCTGCTGCAACATCCTTGGCATCCCTGTCTACATTGCCCACTGTAGTTTTGGCTTTGTAAGGAGAAACTATGGGGCATGAGAACTATGTAGTATGAAACAACTCACTAGGTTTGGTGTTCCAGAAAGGCAGTTCTTTTGTGTTTGCTTCATTGTTGATATGGTTTCAGTGTATGTCGTGGGCTAAGCTGGAAGAGGCTTGGTTCAGCATCCTGACAAATCCCCAGATTCTATTCCACATTCTACCAAGATGACTTTTATACCTCCACAGCTGAGGTAGATGACATGACAATGACCACAGCAGGAGAACCATGGATTCAGATGACGATGATGACGATGACGATGATGTGATTTCCTCTGCATGATTCTTTTTCCTATCATTTGCATCCATAGGAAAAACTGCATTTCTAGAAGTAACTAGGCAACATGTGATATTTGTCACTTATTTTTGTCCAAGCTTTGTCACATGCCCCTTGACCCAGATAGACTTCTGTCCCAAGAAATAAACTTTCTGTGAATAGTTTAGAGGATGCGCTACACATTGATCTACACGACGAACAATGATGGTCCTCCTGCTGCTCATCCTCCTCGCTCCTCTTTTTCAGGGAAAGGAGAAAAAAAAGCAAATACTGGGAACACTAATCCCACACATCTTGAACTAGCAAGTACTAGTTTCACTCTGGAATCGTGATGACTCTTAGGGACAGTACTTCATTCAAGAAATTCCTGATTCAAGCAAGAGATGTTCAGTCTAGTCTTGGTAATACCATATTTGTGATTAACGCACAAATCTCCACTGACAGTTAACTAAAGAAAGTAAGCAACAGAATTCAGTGATTCTGAAACAATCATCATTTCCTTTGTCTTGAGGACCATTTGCCTTTTTTCTTCTCCAATATCTTACATTTCCTAAGTTGCTTAGGTTTTAATATCTTGTGAGTCTTTATACTCATCAAACTTAATGAATTATAAAACTCGATTGTATCCTTTTCTCTGTGTCACTTTAATTAAATCAATGTCTCCCTAGGCGATGTAAAGTCACTGCTCACACTTAAAAGGATTGACAGGTCACTTCTGGAACTTCAGTCAGGGCTCAAAACAAAAACAAACAAGTTTACTTTTTCTGTGTCTTCCTGAGTTGATGGATGTGTGTCTACTGGGAATCCTGCTGCTTCCTGAGGGGAATGAGTATGTGAGGTTTAGGGGAGTACCAGAGGGTGTGACTCTGGGTACCACAGCGGTCTGATTGTAAGCAACAGGAACAGACCAATGTCCTTGCCTCCTCATCTTTAATTGAAAGAGAATGACAAATCCCACTGGCATCATCATTGTCACTTTTGCTAAATGTCTTTGACTACTCCTCTAAGAGGAAATAAATGCATCTGAGACCTTGTGTTCGTGGTTTCTCTGCATATTTTGTTTTTGTTTCTTTGTGTTTTTTTTCTTTTTCACTTACACAGTGGAAAGAAAAAAGAAATAATGGTGTTTGGGGGAATATGGAATGGACTTATGATTAGAATCTAAGTTATCCCAGACTTGGGACTGGAACGGTGGCTCAACTATTAAGATCATTTACTACTTTACCAGAAGTTCCTGGTTCAATTCCTGGCATACCCATGGCCACCCAAAACCAACTGTAACTCCAGTGTCAGTGGAGCTGACACTCTCTTCTTTCCTTCATTCATGTGGTACATAGATGTATATGTAGGTAAAACACACATAAACATACGTGCAGTAATAATAAATTAAATTAAAATTTATAAGACTCAGAAAAGCAAAAGCCTCAGTGTTACAATCAAATCTTAGGCTTAATTGTGTTTGCATATGTGTATGTGTGAATGTATGTTCATAAATGTATGTGTGTCTGTGTACATGCATGTGTGCATGCATGTGTGTGGGTGCATATATGTGCCTATGTGCACAAGTATGCTGGTGCACATACGTGGTAAAAGAAAATGGACTGTATTTTCTACTTTTATGTTGTGGTATAACATTATAACCAGAAGCAACTTAAGGAAGATATTTATTTTTCTTTACAGCTCCAGATAACTGGAGTCCACTATGGTGAGGATGAGGACCACATGGATGGATAAGGCAGTCATTTAATTAGCACACCAGCAAGCAGAGGCAGTCACCTGGAAGTAGGGTGATGCTACAAACACTTACTCTGTGCCCACAGTGATCCCCTAGCAAGACTCTTACGTGGGATTCCCCTCTGTATGCTGTGAATCCTATTGGTTAACAGACAAACTGTCTTGGGCGTGTGCAGGGCAGAATAGAGGTGGGTGGGAAAATTAAACTGAATTCTAGGAAAAAGAAGGCAGAGTGAGTGAGATGCCATGCAGCCCCACTGGAGACAGAAACTTAAATGGAACTTTATCTGGTAAGCCACAGCCACAAGGCAATACACAGATTAATGGAGACGGGCTACTTAAAGATGTAAGACCTAGCCAATAAGAAGCTAGAGCTAATAGGCCAAGCAGTGACTTAATTAATACAGTTTCTGTGTGATTATTTCGGGGCTGATCAGCCAGGAACATATAAAGCAGCCTCTTACTACAAGACCCCTATTGTAAAAGCTCTATAACCTCCCTATTCTGCACCACCAACTGGTTACCATGTAGTTAAATGCAGACACCTGTGAGGGCATTTTCTATTCAATCCACCACACAAACTGCAAGACAGGAAATAGGGAAGATTTTGAATGGAAGGGGAAAAAGGTAGAATATATATGGCAGAAACTGGAAAATTGGGAAGAAAAATGGAATCAGACAGAGAGGAATAGGGGCCTAAGAGAAGCCAGGAGGAAGAAGGTAACATGACGAAAATCTCTTTATGAAATTCATTGCTTTATATACCAATACTTTAAAAAGTGAAGAAAGAATTAATTGACTCTGTTCTATCAAATCTTACTTTCCGATTTCAGGATTTTTTGATTCTTTGGATACAATGGCAGTACAGTTTTGTGACAATCAGAGATGCAGTTTTTGTTGTTTAACACTCTAGTGTTTAACAATTAAAACAGTTTGATATGTTGCCCAGAACATTTTTTTATAGCTGAAAATCCAATCCAAGTGAGAGCTGCCGCAAACAAATATTTATTCATACAAAATATATAAATCCTCTTTAAGAAAAACTAGAGTTGAAAGTTCAATGGATAAAATGACTTTTACTTTTAAAAATGTTACAGTGTATGAGAGTATAGGGAGTTTAATTTCTTAGAACAGGGTGTATCTCAGCTCTATAAATTATGGGAGAAGCTTGAAAGAGGTTGGCCTGTCTTTCTTGTCATAGTTAATCTGGCATTCTTTCTCAAGCCCTACACTAAATGGATTCAATAATGAAGTTGCATTTGAAGTGAAGAGGGTGTGGTGTTTGAATCAGAATGTCCCCCATAGGCTCATAGATGTTAGTGTTTTGTCATTAGGGGGCAATGCCAATAGACAAAGATGAGAAGTTTTAGCCTTTTGGAGTAGGTGTAGACTTGTTAGAAGACCTGTGTCACTAAGGGTGGGCTTTGGGATTTTTTTTAGATGTTCTGTTAATGTAGCAAGAAATGTAACTAATACATGGGTTCTCTATGATGTTTAAATAGTCTGTAATAATTTGCAGAACACAAACCTTTTATGAAACATTTTGTGTATTATATCATCATGAAGTAGTTGCGATGAATCTTAGAAGTACAGAAAAATGAAATTAATCTAAGCCTCATAAGCAGGCCAATTACTAAGAAATGCATATTTACTTTTTTTTCCCCATGTACAAGAAATTCAGACCCAGAAACATTAATCTCTTCTTTCTGAGGAACCGGAACATTGTTGAACTGATGCCTGTGCATGCCTGTATAGTCTAGCTAGTGAGGCATTGCCGTCATTTTAAAAGACCTGGTTCTCCTCATGTCTGGGATAATTTGCCATATGACATTTGAAGTATAAATTGTAATTTAAATGTTGTCATTTCAACCTAAACAAGTTGTCAAGTATAACTCAATTCTCAACCATCTATACTGACCTCTAGAGCATCATGTTCATAATTAATAATCTCCTGAGATATATTTAGGTTTTACTATGGGTCTCAACTCAGTAAAGTTATAATTGTCACCTACCATAATTTCCTATAGCAAGCATCAGAGCATGATATCCATTTTTCTACTTCCTGTAAGAAAAAATGAAAACATAACCTTAATATCATTTATCAGATACTGTCCCATTTCATATGTCTATGTTTAGAGCCCAAAGAATTTCATCAACATGATACACATCATAGAAATCATATAACTAGGAACATTATTAGTGAGTATACCATAATAATAAGCAAACATTAGAACATGTTTAAAATATTTAGCACCCATATAGAAACAGACTTTTTCAATATGTTATTTATTTTTTTATTTCACATAATGAATTTAAATAATATCTTTAAAAATATTGTATAGTTTTATATTATAATTATTTTAATCGGCACATGTTTACCAAAAATCTAGCTAATATATGAAAAATTGAAGCCAGGCTCTGGTGGTGCATGTCTTTAATCCTAACACTCAGGAGGCAGAGGCAGGCAGATCTCTGTAATG